TATAATAACTAGTTTAAACAAAAAATATTTGCAGTATATTTGATGCAGGTGAAAATCTTTAGGACAACATATACTTTCGCTATCTTCAACCGTATAATTTAACAATTGTTTTTTATATTGCTACCAAGCCTACCATATAAAGATTTTAACAGTTTAACAATTTAACATTTATATTTATATTGCTACCATATAAGATTTTTGCTGTTTTAACACGCTTTTATCAGATATAAGTAAAAACGTATGTTCTTACACATTAGTTAGAATGCTCACATTGTCGCGATGTTTCAACTCTTTAAAATTTAATATATAGAAAAAGAACAAAGATGATACAGTTTGAGAAACTCGCACGTTTTCACCTAACCCGAAAATATTGTCTTTTATTATGGAGACAACAATATATTTCCAAAATCCTGTGTTTCTTCTTCTATATGAGAAAAATATATATTTGCACTTTATTTAGCAAAAAAAACAAAAAAAATTTGCATAAACTTTTCAAAACACCAATAGTACTCGCGATCGAAATCATGGATTGGGAGTTTGGGACTTATAGTCGTTTTAAGACACACATGTTTGATGTTTGTGTTGCCAAAATGTCCACGATCGTCGACACCACCACCTTGCTGCATGTAACAAACTTTATTAGATATATATGCAAGTGTATAAATGCACGTAAAGGTAATCACACAAAGGAGATACATAAAATTGACTAATCCAAAAGTATAACTAAGATTTTTTGGATTTTTAATAAATATTTCAATATCTAAATCTACTAAACGTGTACTTATGTCAAATTGTAAATTAGTTATTACGGGATTAGAGATCATATTATAGAAACATCCCTAGATCATATCATAGCACACCATCAAAAAGAAAAAAATCAAAGTGACAATGAAATTTTTTTATAGAAAAACTCAAATAAAACATTTGATTGTTAAAAAGTTTTGAAAGATATCATACTTAAACTGATGGAAGTCGGACTAATGATGCTTGAATATCTTCAAGTGTTCGTCCTTTCGTCTCAGGCACCAATGTCCATATAAATACAGCCGTCGCAAAAGAAATTCCAGAAAATGTGAAATATGTTCCTGAAAATTCAGTAAATCAAAATACTTAGGATTAAACATAAGATATTTCAATTGCGCATTTAAATAAAAAACGTATATACAATTACATGACGTTTTGATCATATATGAACCTTTATACTTTAGAAAATAATTCGAATGTTTTTTTCTTTACGTATATGTTTTTGTTTCATTTTTTGTACTGTTCTTTCTTGTAAAGTAAAACAATATCAAATAACAAAATTTCTGTACTATTTTGTTGATGACTAGAATTTTACCGGAAGCGCTCCATTGGTTCATGAAATTGAAGCTATAGATGATAATCCAACTGAAAAACCAGTTTGACACCGTTACAAGGCTACCAGCGGCGACTTTCACATTCACCGGAAATACCTGCCAAAATAACGAGTCAATTTTGAGATTTTAGTTTTTTAGAACAAATTATTTTTGGTTAGAAAGAAAGGTATTAACCAAATACCTCGGACATTATTACCCATGGTAATCCACCTAAACCGAGGCCAAATGATATTACATAACCCTGGTAATAAACTCGGATGATTAGTGTTGTAATCTCATGATTCTCATCAAGTTATTTATTGATTAAGCCGAAGCGGTTATTATAAACCGGCTGGTCTTGGTTGAAAAGTAAGTTTGGTATTTACGTACCACTAGACCGACGATTAACAAAAAGGAACAAAACGTCTGAAATTCATGCTCTGCATGCTGAGCTCATTGGAGGAACAAAAAAAGTCAGTTTAACTAACGAAGTCTACAAAAATTAATAAAGCTAACTCAACGATTAAAATAGTAAGCAAGACTAAACCTTAAAATAGTAAGAGAGGCCGATTAAAAGTGAACATATGCATAGACCGATAGAAGATATCTGGCAAGGAAAAACATTCAAATAGTAATTATAATTTTTTAATCCAACAAACATGTTATGAAATTTAATACATGCATCTTCAAACCCCTTTCGTATCGAGGGTTGTTTTTTAAATCGGAATATCCAAATACTGCTTTCAGATACCGAAGAGATTATGAATCAAAGGTTTAGAACTTCCACGGTTTATCAAAAAAAAAAATGTTACTAAATTTAATAATGAAATGCTAACCATAAGAAGTGGTCTACGTCCACATCGATCGACGGTTAACATGACAACTATAGATTGTGGTACCTTAAAAAAAATAATCAGTTGTATTTTGGATTAAGAAGAAAAAATATTGAAAGATATAGAAATGATAATGAGTCAATAATGTTTTGTATTTTACCAAAATAGCTGCGAGGATGGTTGTTCCTATTTTGCTTGGAAACCCTAGTTACAAAACGCAAGACAATATGTTTTAAACTCGTGACATCTTCTTGATCCAACAAATAAGCCAGCGGTGAAATTCTTATGATTATTTACCGGCTTTGTCGAAAATACGAGCAGCATAAGAAATTATCGCCGAACTCCCACAAAATTGTTGCGCAAGCATTAGTCCTATTCCAATCTTACCGTTTTCAACATAATTAATCACCCAAAATAAATTCCTTATGCATACATATACGTATAAATACATGTCTATATTTATCATCAATGGGTCACCAACACCAAACTAAAAAAAACTCGGTAAAAC